ATCTATGATCTTGGTTATGGTATTCGCAGTACTGCTGTTGAAAACCTACTGAAAGAGCACTCGTTGGTGCCGACTACTGTATGTTCGCTTCATCATTACTGAATTTATACGAGTATCAACCATGATCTTCCAGAACGCATTCTCAGAGAAACTCGGATGCCTCGGCTTCAATTTGTTCATCATGTTGGTCGTAGACCTCATGCATGAATTTGAACTCGGCGTCTGGAAAGCGCTGTTTGTCCACCTGATACGCATTCTCAGTTCTGCTTGCGCAGGCGATGAATTGGTGAATGAACTCGATCGTCGGTATGTTTTGTTAAATACACCCGACGTAGGTTGTCTAACTAATGGAGGACACAAGCTACAGACTCACTCCTACCTTTGGCCGCGACACTATCCGAAAATTTGCTTCGAACGCTTCCGAAATGAAGAAGATGGCTGCTCGGGACTTCGAGGACCTTCTTCAGGTCAGATTCTGTATTCTTTTCAACTATTTTCCTTGACTCATACCCATTTAATTAGTGCACCATCCCCGTATTTGATGACCTCCTTCCAGAGCCGCACAATACAAATGTTTTGACTCTGCTTCGTACCTGTGCACGCTGGCACGCTCTCGCGAAGCTGCGCATGCACACCGACGAGACCCTCGACCTCCTCGACACTACCACTGCCGCGCTCGGAAAGCAGCTTCGTCATTTTCAGAACCATACTTGTGCGGCGTTCAAGACTCGGGAACTAAAACAGGAAGTGGAACGTCGCCAGCGCCGGCAGTCACGTCACGGTGCTGGCAATGGAGAGGCAACGACGTCGACACATCAGTCATCTCGGCGAACAAAGAAGTTTAATCTTCAAACGTACAAGTTACACGCCCTGGGTGATTATTCTACCTCGATACGCACCTTTGGCACGACAGACTCGTATAGCACTGAACCGGTGAGCAGAAACATCGTGATCATATTGCCGGTCATGTTTAATTCCTTGTGCATTATAGGGAGAGTTAGAACACCGCACGTCGAAAGCAAGGTATCATAGAACGGACCGAAAAGAATTTGTCAAACAGATCGCCAGCATCGAACGGCGCGAGGCCCGTATACATCGCATTCGTGACAAACAGTCACCGCACAGTACGGTGATCGACGAAGAAGTCGCTACATCACCTGAGGCTCGTTTCCACGTCGGGAAATCTCAAAATTATCCCGAGAACATTCCGCTATTTCTCCAAAGGCACCTGGGCGATCCTGCAATCAAAGTGAGTGCCACATAATCGTGAAGTTAGTTTGAATGAAACACGGTGCTGATTCTGAGTAACAGGACTTTTTACCCAAGCTTCAGCACTTTCTCCTCGCCAAGATCAAGGATATCTTAGCCAAAGAAAATGGTCCTTCACACACCAACAGTTCCGCTGCTATTTCGGCGCCAGGAGTTTACCCGGCATGCTCAGACTCAGAAGTCCGTGTTTTTATCAAGGCTGATCGCATGTACAGACACAACTTGATGCGGCTTAACTACACGACATACGATGTCCGCCGAGCGCAGGACATCATCAATCCATCGACATCGCATTGTAATGTCATGCTTGTGGGCCAAGCCAGCAGGGACTCAACTGTCGGTGAACAACATCCTTATTTATACGCTCGCGTGCTTGGCATTTATCATGTCAATGTCACTTATATTGGTCCTGGCATGATCAACTACAACTCGCAACGAATCGACTTCCTTTGGGTGCGCTGGTATCAACATGTAGATGTTGATGAAGGCTCGAGCCGGCGCACATCTTTAGATCGTATCCACTTCCCTCCTATGGCAGAACCAGACACGTTTGGGTTTGTTGACCCTGATGATGTTCTTAGATCTTGCCATGTTATTCCGCAATTCGCTCAAGGCCTGCGGCATTTGGATGGCAGGGGCGTTTCCCATTGTGCCCAGGATAAGCTTGACTGGAAGTTCTATTATATCAATTGGTGCGTCTAATATTGCTACCTAAATGAAACTCCCCTGACGCAACAACTTAGCTTTGTAGACCGTGACATGTTCATGCGTTATCAATGGGGGTTAGGAGTCGGGCACACGTATACGCACGCTAGCCACAAAGATACCGACACAACCACAAATTTTGGCCTTGAAGGGGAGGAAGTTGATTTTGACCAAAATCGGGGTATTTCTGGCTCAGGCTCGGATGGTGAAGCGTCTGACTCAGACTTGGGATCTGATTCAGATGAAGACTGTGATGAGGAGTATAGTGATAACGACTCCACCCTCGACTATGAAAACTAGGCCAGTTATTGGTAGGAAGGCGGAACAACGGAGCTCGACTGAATTCATGTACTACTAGTTACTTGCACATAATGGTTTTTTTGTCAAAGTTGTCACGAGTTTCTTCAGAAGCGCTTCTATTAATAACACTTATCGATGACTCGAACTTGTTGACAGCTGTTGATAGTTTGCCCTGCGGCACTGGCTGCCTCCCGCAGCGCTCAGGCTGTATCATATACAACAACCAGTCTTTCGCACAAGATTGCTGCAAGATCAAGATCAATATGGGACTCGTCTCTGGTGCAGAGGTATGTTGTTCAAGTTATTCCAAATACTCCTACCTTATCGTGGTCAATCCGACAGATCGATAAGAGTTATCATTGAACTTGAACGCAATGGGTTGTAGGGTGCAAGAAACATCGATTAAAAATCTACTCCGACCCTGGACAGAGAGCGTGGACTGTTCCAGTATTGTGATAATCTTCGATGCAAAGCATAAAATGAAGGGTGTAAATTGTAGGTGGGGTCTCATCTGAGAGATGGCTACTGACTGCCCACACAGACTCATCATCTGAAAGATTATTGTTGACCTTCCTCTATAATGTCCTTGCAAGTTCGAATAGGCTACATTTACAGTCCAACAGCTGGGAAGGATTCAAGTATCTTTGACTGGTCTCCAAGCACTGGCAGCGCTTGATTGCTCACGACATGGAAGAGAATTCATTTCGAGCAAAACTCTCGATAGGCCACGTTTACAGTCGTCCAACAGCTGGGTGGTTGCGCCGATCGATCACGAATTTGCCTCGAGTCGATAAGCTGAACCCTGACGACTCAATCCACACTGATATTGGGACGACTTCTAGAAATTACTGGGCATCTTCGACGTAAAATACAGTGAGCGATGTGACCTCTAGGTAAGGCTTTAAAAGCTCATCCGAAAGATGCATACTGACCGCCACACAGACTCATTTTTTGAAGTATTTTCGTTGTTCTTCTTCCATAATGTCCTTACCGCGGGTTCTAATAGGCCACGTTTATAGTCCTCCGACAGCTGGGAAGGACGCAAGTATCTTTGAGTGGTTTGTAAGTGGTTCGGTAAGTTTTCACCTTTGGACGTGTTCTAGGCTGACACATGGCGATTCTAGCCATACGCACTTGAAACTCTCGAGGGGACTTTCCTCAAGGTGGCTTTGCAAGAAAATGTGCTGATCCTTAGAACGGAGAAATACGAACCCGTATACATGGTAAGCTATATCCCGACTCTCGGGATTCTCGAGTCTGTCAAAGTATCACTAAATTCCTTCACAGGATATGCGCAAGCAACCAAATCTACCAGTAAGTGCTTTCGTCCCGATATTGCTTTACCGAACGGCGCTGTGACACCGAACTATGTGCTTTGCGACCCGGTCGTCTTTGCCTCTCAATTTACTTACCTGTTGGCAGGCCTCAAGTGTATACAAGGCGACATCGCAACATTCAAACCCTTATACATGTTATCTGACGAGGTAATTGCCATGGTACGTTTTGGCCCTGTTGGAGTTTGCATGACTGCAATGCACACCTACAGGTGTACCAAGAGCGGGCCAGATTCATCAGAACGTTGAAGGAGATTTGTAAAAGTCTTGCTGAAGAGCCGGAGAAGAAAAATATGGGTGGATATTGTTTGAAAGACTATAACAAGGACCCGGTTGTACCGTATATCACTCAACTCACCGGTCTGACGGTTTGGGACGGTGAAGTTACATCCGCTATGTTTACCCGCTGTTCCTCTGGGGTATGGATTCTCATTGAAATTATATGATTATGTTACTGATTTCCGTCTTACAGAAATATTATCGTCGGATGCCAATCCTGATGATTCTGGCACTTCGCATTTTGCAACCACCCAGAAATTATAAGAAGGCGCTATTGGATATCTACCCCGACAGCTACAAGACACTTCCCGAGAATTTGTTAGCCAGCGCTTGCGGAACGGTGCGTGACGTCTGCAATTTGAAAACAGACTCCCATCCCTTTCCACAGTATCTTGTTTACTTCAAGCGTCGACTTCCCGAATGCCCATGGACCTCAATGATTTTATCTGACGTATTGGAGAGGGAAATAGCAGACCAGCTAGATCTCCTAAAGGCCGTCCGCCTGAATGCGAGCACGGACTCGTTCGCACGTGAGCTAAATACATGGATCGACACTTGGGATGGCGTGGACGGGTGGTTGCAAGACCTGTAAGTAGATTCGATTCAATTGTTTTAGTCACTGGGCCTCACGTGTACAGCAAACATACACTGAACTTTGTGAATAGACAGCGAGGCCTAGTTCACTGGACGACACTGATGAGGAGGATTCAGGAAACGATGATGAAATCAACATTCCAGTCATGACACCAAGGCAAATCGAATGCGCGCGCGAGAGAAGACGCTTGGAAAGACTTGTCCTCGAGGACTTGGACTTAGACATTGACTATCGGACCGGGGCACCATCGAGACAGAGACCCCACAGCAAGCGAGCTACAAACGCCAAACTCAAGGTAGTAATCTGCAGTTGTGGGGTATATATCTGACTTATCATGTTATTTGCTTGTAGTCCCAAATCCAAGCAGATGCCGCGTCCAGAGATCACCATTATCCTACCTGCTCTCTGCGCTGAGGTTCGATGCAAATCACCATCCCTTCAGCCCTCCCGATCAGGAAGCATCATACTGGATGTCCACGACGTTCGACAGTCAGGCTCACAACGCGAAAGTCGACTGAGGCTTTCACCATGAACAGACAGGCGCGCTACTTTGTCCTGCTGGCCTCGACTGGTCTAACTCTGAGTGCGTGGCATCTATTTACTTGGCACCATTACTAATGGAATGCAGGGCGAAAGCTGAACTAAAGAGTGGTGAGATCATCGTGACTGGAGACCAGTGGCCGTTGTTCTTGTACGCAGACTACCATTATGATCCCGAGGATCCATGGAATGGTCTGTTTCGAAGCGCCTTGCTAGTTTGTGTAAGATTTGTATTATATGTTGCTCTCAAATTTATTTGTTCTCAACTAGACTCTTAGGCATACAGATACGTCTTCACGTCCCCCAGTTCTGTGGACAAAGAACCAAAGGCAACTCGTTCAGGTAACGCTCGGATTCATGGAATGACCCGAGTCACACTGCCCTCATGATGTTCGAACATTCGCCTTGTCATGATCAGGTTGCAGCCATTACACCGTGTGAGAAAATGATGGAATTCGGCTTCTGTGAGACCAGGCCGGGAGAAGGAGTCCAGCTTCAGAAGCATGTCGATGACTTGGTGAGTTTCATTTCGTCGAAGCTGGCGCTTTTGGATGATATCCTCTGGTTTGATGTCTATGGACAAATCCTATGGTATCACTTTGCCGTGCACAGTCACAACTTGTTCGAGCACATACCATTCCTATCAAGAAATACGATTTCCCGCGGCCTGGCCTCGTCAGAGTCTGTTATCAAGCCCATCAGTACATCATAATGAGACTAACGGTCATCACCGTAACAGGATATATCTCACTGCGTCTTGGGCATGTCCCTCGACATCAAACAACGCCAGACTCTTGCGCGCATAGACAATGATGCCCGGCAAAGTAAAGTCACGGTTTCGCGGTCACATATCTATGATCTTGGTTATGGTATTCGCAGTACTGCTGTTGAAAACCTACTGAAAGAGCACTCGTTGGTGCCAACTACTGTACGTTCGCTTCATCATTACTGAATTTATACGAGTATCAACCATGATCTTCCAGAACGCAAATTCCAACTCACCCCTTCAGCTGATAGTCATTTATCCTAGATAATGTGATTCCAATCCCCTTCAATGCTGGTCTAGAGGGAATTCTAACTTTATCGTCTCTGCAGACTGAAGAAATGTAATCCGCAAGTCTGGCTGCCATCATTGACTCTCGCCTGGGGTCTCGTCTCTATTGGCCAAGGCCTTGTCAAAAACCAAGCCGGGTTATTTGGAATCAGATTCTGTATGTTGTCTTGTGTGTGTGTGTGTGTGAAAGTACCGCTGATGATTGGCTACTTCTCGTCAGTACTTGGTGCCACGGAAGCTGGACTGTTTCCCGGTGTGATATATGTCTTCTCGGTATATTATCGGAGGTAAGAAGCACGATGCTAGACCCTTATGCATACCAGGTCTTGATTACTCGTATAGACATGAACGGAGTTGGCGAGTTGCAATTTTCTTTGGTGGTGCGGCAATATCGGGGGCATTTGGAGGTATGCTAGGTGCTCTTCATGTGACCGCACTTCGATTAAATTTCTGAAGGGATATTTGCGTATTCCATCGGATTGATGGATGGTGTGGGCGGAAGAAGGGGTTGGCAATGGTGTGTTCCCGTTCCCATATATCACCTCGTTAACCCAAGTGCGAAAAGGACATTCATTCTTGAGGGAATCCTCACAGTGGTCGTTTCCCTCATCGCATATTTCATTGCGCCGACTTGGTCTCACGAGGCAAAATTTGTGCGTTTTATCCTTCCGTCTTCGTCACCCCAAAATTTCAACTTTTGCAGCTATCTGAAGCAGAAACAACGCGCCTGCTAGATAGATTACGAGCAGACTCCGATGCAGGAACTGACCAAGCCTTCAAATGGTCGTCAGTTCTAGATGCTTTCAGCGACCACTTAGTCTGGGCATATGCATTCCTTTTCCATGGATTTTCTTTTGTGCTGTACTCGCTCAGCCTTTTCCTGGTACGTTCGTCGTCGAAGGAAATTGCGAATGGTGTCTGACTGCCAAGTCTAGCCTACAATCATCGCAGGACTTGGATTTCAGACATGGCAGGCACAACTGTAAGTCCCTTCGAGCTCAAAGGATCCAATGTTGAAGTGGGTCCCACCATAAGGATGACCGTCCCCCCGAATGTGCTCACAAGCGTTCCAATATGGACCACGGTATATTTCTCAAGCAAGTACAATGTAAGAGCGCCCTTCATTATAGAAGCTGCAATTGTATCCATCATTGGTGAGAGCAATTCGTGTCACGCACTTCAATTACCTCATGAACCTCCAGGGTATACCCATATCTCAAGTATCATATGCCAAAGGGAATCCTAACTACGACGAGTTAGAAGCCTCGCGATGGCAAGCAGCACAAGTCTCAACTCTCAGTGTTTGCAACTTCGTAGGTCGTATTCTTATTGGTATATTCCTTTGTCATTCTACCTCACCATCTTATGTAAGGACAAAGTGTTTGATCTCGCGGGACCAATCCGCATCGACTCCATGTGCGCGCTCCACCCAAGCCCCTTTGATGAAGTTTCACTCTGACTCAGGCGTGTACTCCGCTCAGGCTTGCGAGCCCCTTTCATGCCTTGGTGCGTTGTGTCCCAGTTCAACTTCTTCGTCATGGCGTCCTGTTACTTCTTCCACGGTATTGTCGGCACCCAGAATGTGAATCTCTATGTTCTTAGAGGACGGTTGCAGAGATCTTCCTGTCTCCGTTTTCACTTTTGGTGGTAGAACTGCGCCGCCAGATGATGGCGTTTTCAGACGCGATTCAATACTGAACTTCGGTTTACAGATCATCACGTCAGTCACCTGCATTAACAATGGAGATTAGAGTGTTCTTTGAGCTTGATCGAACGCTGGGCAATGGTGAAATCATCGGAAAACTTCAAACATCGTGGGATGAGTTGCTCAATCATGGAGATGAACAATTCGGTGAGCAACCTACTTATCATTCCTGCACATCTACTCACATCGAGTAGAACTGTCCTTCCCACCCGTTCGTGGTGTCAATCCTTCGCTCACGCTGAAGGCCACTGTTGTACATGCTAGCGATAATCAGGACGGCGCACTACTTGACGTGAGTGACCCCAGACTTTGTCCTGTTAGTTGTGCTGACAGATCACGAACTGTAGTCCCTCGTAGACTGCGAGACTGTCCGAGAAACAGATGCGGGCCATGTACGATTCACCAGATACATGAGACACGAGTGGGTCTGTCAGCTGAATGACGGATGACCTCGTCCGTCCGTACGTTCACAAAATTCTCGTTGTCATTGAGCCACTCCTCGTTGATGAGGATTACTACGCTCGTGTGGAGGGTCGCGAGATCATATCCAACCTTTCCAAAGCTGCCGGTTTTGCACACATGATTTTCACTATGCGTCCTGACATTGACCATGCTGACGAGTACGTCCGTAATACCACCGCTCGCGCATTCTCTGTCGTTGTTCCGCGCTCGGTATCCCCTCCCTCCTGCCGTTCCTCAAGGCCGTGTGTCGCAGTAAGGAAGTCGTGGCAGGCGCGTCATACCCGTATCCGTATCGTGCAACAGATCACTATCATGATGGGCTGCGCCGTCTTACCCCATCTTCGTAATCTCGTGGCCTGCATTGCGCACGGTCTGCAGGATGAGCAGCAGAAAGTGCGGACCATGACTGCACTCGGGCTTGCCGCCCTTGCTGAAGCAGCCACGCCCTACGGTATCGAGTCCTTCGATGAGGTACTGAAGCCTCTCTGGCTTGGTATTCGTCTGCATCGCGGCAAGGGTCTTGCTGCCTTCTTGAAGGCTATCGGTTTCATTATTCCCCTCATGGACCCCGAGTACGCATCCTACTACACCAAGGAAGTCACAGTCATTCTCATTCGTGAATTTCAAACCTCTGATGAAGAGAGGAAGAAGATCGTCCTCAAGGTGGTCATCCCCGAGTCCAAAGGGCAACACAGAGGAGAACATGGCGGACACACAGGATCACATCGATGCAACCGTGACACAGCTCTTCTACACGAGCAACATGTTCCACGACTTGACCTACCGTTGAGTTTTACTTTGGACGTGGCGGTGAGGAATCAGATGCTGTGATTACGAATGCACAGGACGGCAGTGGGTTTAACAATGCCAATTTTATGACGCCCCCCGATGCGCAGAATGGGTGGGTTGTTGTTTTTCCTTATCCTGATCGATACTTATGTTTCGTGAACCAGTCGATGCCGTATGTACCTCTGGAACACGGCAAACCCTTACCGCGATGGTGACATGGAAGCTGACATCGTCATCCACGAGCTTGCGCATAGTCTCAGCACGCGCTTGACGGGTGGCCCCAAGAACAGTGGGTGCCTTGGCTGGGGTGAGAGTGTTGGGGTGGCAAGTTTATTCTCCCAGATTTGTCTCCACCTGACGTGCAATAAGCAGCGCAAGTACATACTTCATGTCTGCACTTCATTGGGGAGATCTCTTACGACACTTCCACAGTTAATACAACAAGCATATTCGAGCGCACAGGCCCAGGTGGATTAACGACGGATCCAACAAGAGCTGGTCGAGATTCAGAGACGACCTGAGGCATGGGCGTTGATTGTATCTTTCCTCGAACATCCCGACACAAATGTGCAATTCTTTGGCGCACATACTGCGCAGGTTAAGATCATGTGCGACTGGTAAATGCTCTACCTTTTCCTCCTTTCAATGGTACCGATCAACTGCTATATTGCTGCAGGGATTCATTTCCTGAGGAAAACGCCGAACATCTACGAGACTTACTGCTCAAGCTCACCTCTCACTCAACATTGACGGGAAAAGGCGAAGTAGTGTGCCGCAAACTGTTTGTCACAGTGAGTTCAAGTCCTAGACTGAAGTTCGTCTAGTGATCGTTTGCAGATCACATCACTTGCACTCCAATTTGCGCCTGGTTCTCCCTCAAGGTGGCCAGACTGGATAGTGTCGGCAGTGAATTCTCTCTCTTCCTCTGGCATGCCTCCAGAACAACTCCTTGCCTTCCTTACCATAGTCGATGAAGAGGTCGAAACGGCCGACCTTCTAGGGCCCAGTAAGTGAGTGCGACGATTGGAATCACTCTGCATCATCACCAATCTCGTACCAGGATGCAAATGCACCAGTCTCTTCTTGACGCCTCTCCGATGGTAGTCCAAGCTGTAATAACGTCTATCACTCGACCGACTCTCATATTGCCTGAACTGCAATCTGCACTCAAGTGCTTTCAAGCATGGATATACACATTACGGGCCAAGTAACGTTCTTTTATACTCTGCTCGATTTGCAACTTAATGCCTCACACAAGTGATATCACACCCATTATTCCACTGTTGATCACGATAATGACGCCCGCACCAGACTCTGGATTTGACGAGTCGAATTTCTCAACGGCTTCTGATGTCTTGCAGGAGATTATGACGAGGTCTTCGTTGGCTGGAGGTGCGGGTACAGGCACGTTGACGGAGCCGCTTCTCGTGTGGCTTGATGCCTATGGAGATCGTGGTGAGCCTTGTTGGTTGCAAATGCTCACTCGATATGAATACTCACTGTTATCCGATACCCAGCCGGTTCAGTCGACGGCAGTGTCTCATTCACTTTGTAAATTGCTGGTCGCCCTAGGAGATCACTCCACCATGTTTTTCGCCTCCAACATCACATCGTTAAAACCCGTTCGACGTGGATGCTTGGTCTCTCCGCTAATGTCCTTGCGCTCGCCCACCAGTACGCCAACGCTGGCTCCACTAATAACGCCAAAGGCATTGTTCCCTCTGGTTCGGCGCATGACTCGCAAGATCATTCCGTGGCACGGCGGTATATCATCTACGAAGAGTCGTGGAAACACCACGCTCAAGCGCGTGCCATCCTTGGAAACCTCATCGGACCGAATGGCGAGCAGCTCACTTCCACCGACCCCTATAGCACAACTGTGTTCGTTGGTGGGTTGTCGCCTTTGGTTTCTGAAGAGACCTTGCGGGCGTTCTTCACTCCGGTCGGCGTTCTTCACTACGTGAGAGTTTCACTTTTGCGCTATTGGTGTAATGCTAATATAATGTTGTGCGTACAGGTGAAGGTGCCCGTTGGAAAACATTGCGGCTTTGTTCAAAGTAGCGGGGGACGGTTTCTACTGATTTCTTATCCCCAACAGCCTCTTTACCTCATCCAACTCCCTCCAAGCGTTTTCGAGGTACCTCACGGTCTCCTCGAGTTCCCCCTCTCTCCGCAACGCCATTAACGTCAACCAACACCGGTCTTCCGCGGTGGTACGAATAGGTTCGTGCGGCCAGCACGGAACCACCGTGTTGAGTGCGAAATTGGGCCGTTTGTCTGGCGGCGTTCCAAGTCGCCTGGACATTGTCAGTGTTGGAATCACTTAAATCGTAATCAATACGTACAATCGCTGAGTCGCTGACGACCAACGGCCCAGGAATGAGCAGGTGATCAAGTAGTCCTACCTAACATCAAGATCAGATAAGCTATAATTTAATACGCAATTCTTCACATTTAGAACTTACCGATTGTGTTGGAGGCTCAAAGTTGAGTTGATTGTTTTGTCCTTCAACGTTTAGTTGATTGTTTTGATCTTGAGCGCCGGCTTGATTGTTCTGCTCCATGGAGGTGTTGTAGCAGTCACGGTGAAGGAGATTATCGGTGGTGGGATTTTACATAGTAGGTCTGGAGAAACGAGAATGTTTTGCCTTTTTGGGAAAACATTTTTCTTACAAACCACACCGACAATGGTCACAGCGACCCTCTGACAGCCATAAATCACTTCAAACCAACGGCGACGTCTCTAAAGCCTTGTTCAATAAACTAGGTCCGAAAGCACAATCTCCTGCGCCCGCCAACGCCACGCCAGCCTCACCTGTGCATCATGGCTGCAGACCCTCGCATGAGTGACGGAGAGCTAGCCGCAATCAATGCAGCTGCAGTGACGCGGGAATACCTGCGTCCAACCACACCTTGGTGCGTCCCAAAGCATTGCAAGACGTCGAGCACTTATTGACGAGTCCTTAAGACTACCGCAACCGTTTCTTGCGATCAATGGGTGAGTGGACCGCACCACTATGTCTACAACCAAGCTCACAACCAGAATTTACAAATAGGGGTTGGCAAGCGCGTTAAGCGTGTTATCTTCGAGTGAGTGTTGTACATTCGGGTAATAATCGTGCCCAACTGCTGATGTCTTTTCATGAAAAGAGATAAGCGTGCCGTAGGTGTCGAGTCACCAGCGATCTGATATCTTGCCAGATGCGGATAAGTCATCGAGCATCGTGAGGGCATCAAAGCTTGTTGTTATCTCTGCGGGCGCTTTCGGTTCGCCGGCCATTCTCGAGAGATCTGGGATCGGTGATGCGGTTCTGAAGCGGTGCGGTATCGAGCAATTGGTGGACTTGCCTGGCGTTGGAGAAAATTATCGAGGTTCGCGTTCAACCATTTGTTTCATGATGTTAACTTAGAGTTATGAGATCACAATGGCGCCTTTCTTCCACACTTTGCTGCTGACGAAGCTGTTACTATGGACCCCCTCTGGCGTGGAAAGGAGAGTGCTATACAGGGTAAGCATGTTCTCGCCATATTCCAAGTCCATTTAATAACGCCCAACATTGTAGAAAACCTGGCAAATGGAAAATCGATGCCAAGTCACTCGTTGCCCAAAGTTGGTATGAAACCGTCATTGCTGGTGGCGTGTTAATTAGCATTTCAGTGGCAGCGATGCAAAAATCAAATGGCGTCCTGACGGCGACGAGCTGGAAGCTATGGGATCAGCTTTTCAGCCACGATGGAAAGAGTTCTTCCAGGACCGCCCAGACAAGGCTGTTGCAATATTTTGCCTTTTCGAGGGGTGCGTGCACTATACTTTGCTTTGGATAACGTGCGAATGCTCACGATAACCAGACACGCTGGAGCATCCAAGAATAATCTTCCTCCTCGCAATTACTTAGTTGCATGCTGTATACAGTACGATTCCTCATCTACTACCCCGTGATTTGTTCTGAGTTTTGCAATAGCTGTATCCTGTGTCTGCTGGCAGTGTTCATATCAATGGCTTCTCTGAGGAGAACAACGAGGACTATCATTTTCTACGCGAATCAGACTCTGCGGACTATCAGCTTGTGCTACAAAGACTTTCCGTCTTGGCCACCACCTGGATTCAAGTCTCTGCTATTGACGAAGTAGGTATACTTGCAGTCGCATTTCGTCATACTGACCTGGTTGTAGGTGTCATACGACGTCATCGCTAAAGACCTGACATTGATCGGCATCGTTGGAATCGAAGATCCGCTCAGGGATGGTGTGTCGAGAAGCAGTCTCTGATCGCCACAAAGCTGGTTCGCTGTGAAGATGTGCACGGGTGATAATGTGCTGACGGCGCGTTCGATCGCCACGACGCAGTGTGGTTATACACGGCTGGTGGTATCATCATGGAAGGACCCGTTTTCCTGTTGCTGACGAATCGCAGATGCTCGAGATCGTTCCAAGGCTTCAGGTTCTCGCCCGTCTATTCCTGTCCCTACCTCTACCCTTTCACCGCCACGCGCGAGTATCGAAACCCTTTCTTTTGGTAGATTCATCATGGCGCCTCAAGTATGTCTCCACCAGGTCCTGTGATACCCATTGTTTCCTCAACTACCGGCAAGCTGGAGAATGAGAACAGGCGCCCAAATTGACCCAGCAGATGACTTGAGAAACCTGGCATCTTCTTCGGTTCTGAGGATGAGGACGGCGAATCTTCGTTTTCGGGAGATCAGCTCCTGGTGACTTATTTTCGGCTGCGGAAGGTGACTCTATCATATGGTCCCACTGGGACACCCTCGTTGAGAACGATTCAAGACCTGGGTACCGACGGAACCCACCTCGCTGACTCTCAGACTCTGCGATCCCGAGCGCACCCTCTTCATCATCGCCTCTAAAACCTTTACCACCCAAGAGACCATCACCAATGCCGAATCCGCTCGCGATTGGTTTTTGGCGACAGCCAAGGACAAAACACACGTTGCAAAGCACTTCGTCGCCCTCAGCACGAACACAGGCTGTCACCGCGTTTGGCATTGACAAGGCAAACATGTTCACCTTCTGGGACTGGGTTGGTGGGCGCTACAGCTTCTTTACTGCCCTCATTCGATCGTGTTCGTGCTGTGTTTGGACACCGCTTTTCCCATGCTATTATTCGTATTATTATTCGTATTGCAGGGATTGTGTACGTATCTTGTAGTAGCTACAAGCTCCACCCAAATTCCTGATGCTGGTGCCATTTTTGTCTTGGTTGGGTATTGATTTGTGTAGGCTAATCATACTTTGCGAGACATTGCATATCTCCATCGGAATTGCAGGTTACTGACAATTTCTTGTCCTTTTGCGCCATTGTTCTCTTGCTTGTATATTACTGTCGTAAAATAATCATATGCATGAGGTATTGCAAAAATCCATCAGAATGGTGGGTAACTTATTTTTGTCCTTTGGTGCCATTTTTCTCTTGCCTGTGTATTACTTTGTCACACAATAAACATAATTGTGCAGTGTTGCATATTTTTATC